CCAGATTGGATTACTGTAATGCACTCTACGTGGTGCTGCCCTTGAAAATGGCCCAGAAATTTCAATTGGTTCAATGGGCGGCGGCCAGGCTGTTAACTGGTGCTCCTTACAGAGAGAGGTCAACCCTCCTATTTAAGGAGCTCCACTGGCTGCCATTCATTTTCCGGTCCCAATTCAAGGTGCAGGTGCTTACCTACAAAGCCCTAAACGGTTTGGGATCCGCCTACCTCCGTGACCGCATTTCAGTGTACAAACCTACATGATCTCTTCGTTCATCTGGAGAGGTCCTGCTTACGATCCCACTGGCATTGCAAGCGCAATTGGTGGGGACGAGGGATAGGGCTTTCTCGGTAGTGGCCCCTCGACTCTGGAACGACAGGTGGGGTGTTTGGAGGAGGGTGGGCATGCAGATATCCTAAATCTCTGATAAAGTGCATTGGGACCTAAAGCTAGGAGTTTCCTTATTCTGGAAAGGCACACTGGAACATCCATGTTTTCCAGCTCCTCCTAAAGATTGTTAGCGACGGGACCTGCCTGATGTCCTTAGGGAGAGACTAAGGACATCAGGCAGTTCTCTCACAGGGAGGAGGGAGCAAGCTTGTTTTCTGCTTCCTTGGAGACTAGGACGCGGAACAATGGCTTCAAACTACAAGAGAGGAGATTCCATATGAACATGAGGAAGAACTTCCTGACTGTGAGAGCCGTTCAGCAGTGGAACTCTCTGCCCCGGAGTGTGGTGGAGGCTCCTTCTTTGGAAGCTTTTAAACAGAGGCTGGATGGCCATCTGTCAGGGGTGATTTGAATGCAATATTCCTGCTTCTTGGCAGGGGGTTGGACTGGATGGCCCATGAGGTCTCTTCCAACTCTTTGATTCTATGATTCTATGATCATATTTTACTTCCACCCATTATTATTATTATTATTCATACTTTTTATTTAGCTGTGTTTTGACTGGTCAGGTTGTGGGATTTTTTTTTTTTGGATGTAGAAAGCCCCTTGGGTAGCTGCTTCCACAGTTATTAAATAACATATAGTATGTTAAATTAACTTAGGAATTTCTTCTTAAATTGTAGACTGAAATTGAAGATTCTGGCTTGTGAGCTCAGGGCTCTGTTTCATCTCACATGGTATTCAACAGGGGTCATCTGGGGTTTTGGGGTACATTGCCACATATAGGCAGATGACACCCAGCTCTTATCACTCCTTTGCATTCATTGTAAGACTGTGTCTCCCTTTTAATTAAAAGGTGTATCTTTAAAAACAAATGGGTGTCTTCAGTGAATAATTTTCTCTTATACATTATTTAGCCATGAATAATGCAACGTGAAATGTCATCAACTGCACAAATTACTTTTTTGGGAAGGAGTGTTATGGGCCTCCCTTTGCATTTTGAAACAGGTCAGATTTGGGTTGAGGCACAGCCCTCCCTTGATGTTTCGTTTCTCCAATAAGAAAATCATTGACGGAGAAAGGGATGACTATTTTGGGAAACGATTGAAAATTGTATCAACTGAATTGTATGGGATAGCACTCTCGGTAGGACATCACTTGTTGAACAAACTAACCAATAGGCATAGTTCGGTTCAGTTGGAATCTTCGTAATTCGGAATAAATTTGGAAATATTTGCTTTTTGAAGTGATTTCGAAGTTTTTAAGGAAACCGGTAGGCTTGGGTAACAACGGAAAAATTTGTTTCTAAACTCGTTTCGTTTTTAGGAGTCCATCGCGTTTCGTTTTTTTAAAGAATTCCGAAATTTTCCTTTTAAAAATTTCGAAATATACGAAATTTCGTAAAATTACGAATCGATTCGTTAATGGCGGGCGCGATTGCGCAATATGCTAAAAAAACCTCCAAATGGGACAGGGGGAACTTCTGAAGCTTCCCTCTCCCTCTGTTGTTGACTGTTGGTGTGATAAAACAAACAACAACTATAAAACTTGCACCAGACATGCGAAAATAATTATGAAATAATTACGAAATAATTTCGAAATAATTACGAAATAATTACGAAATAAATTGAAAAAATTGTTTCGAATCTAATTTACTCCTCACACTATTCCTGCATGGCTCAATATTGGATCGTAAGCTAATTTAAATACGAATTAATAACGAATTACGAAATTAACGAACGAAACCGCCCAAGCCTAATCCGAAGCTTTTCCCACCATTTCTGTTACGAAGCAGTAAATGAGTCGAAATGATTCAGCTTTTCCCCACTTCTCTTCCCTGGCCTTGGCAGCCGTTTTAAAGCAGACTGGATGAATCCCCCCCCCCCCTTCTGTCTGGATCCTGGGAAGCGTTTTAAAGCAAACTGGATGAATTTCCCCCCTCTTCTCCCCTTGCCTCTGTCTGGAGCCTGGGAAGTGTTTTAAAACAGAGTGGATGAATTTCCTCCCTTTGCTTCCCCTCCCCCCCCTTCTGAAGTAAAACAACAAAATTCCCATCCAATGAAACAGGAAATAACACTTTCAAACCATTAAGGAAAGGATTCAGAAGTCTTGGGCATTTCAAAAAGTTTTGAATATTTTTTTTCTGTGAAAATCGGAACTGACTTTCGATTCGAACCACCAGGACCTCCTACATCCGAAATGAGTTTTGAACCATTTTTAAATCCAACAAGCATGACACTCAGCTGGTGCTGAAGATGGAAGGCCGACCGGACTCTGTACCCAATTATTTCCATCAGTGCCTTGAGGCCGTGACTGGATGGCTGCGTGCCAGCAGGTTGAGGGTGAATCCAGCAAAGACGGAGATCCTATGGCTGGGTCGACCGAGCAGTGGGGATATCCAGCTGCCTACCCTGGATGGCGAGGCGCTACGCCTGTATATTATTATATTATATAATTTTATTTTATATTGTATATATTATATAATTTTATATTATTTATTGTTATTATTATTTATTATTATTATTATTTATTTATATTTTATTTCTTTAAATTTTATTATTATATTATTGTTTTTTTTTTTTATTTTTTTTGGTACTTTATCTTATTACTTTTTATTTTATTTCTTTAATTAATTTTTTATTTTTTAAATTTTTTTTTGAATAATATATTGTTTTTTATTTCTTATCCATTACATTTTTAAGAAGTGGTTATAATCTATTTCTATTTTTTTTTTATAAATTTTTTAATATATATTAATTTCTGGGGTAAATTCAAAATTAAAGGATTGTTATTTATTTAGATTCTATTATTATTCTATTATTTTATTATTTATATTTTTTTATATTTATTATTTATATTTATTTTTTTTTTTTTTTTTTTTTTTTTTTTTTTATATTATTTTTTAATTATTTGTTTTATTTTTTATAATTTATTATTATATTATTATTATTATCTATTATTAATTGGTAAAGAGTCTGGGAGTCCTTTTGGACCCTCTGCTGACGATGGAGGCCCAGGTCTCCGCCGTTAGCAGAACCGCCTTTTTTCATCTGCGGCAGGCTAGACGGCTGGCCCCCTACCTGTCCAGGGACGACCTAGCTACGGTGATCCAGGCTACGGTCATCTCAAGACTGGACTACTGTAACCCTCTACATTGGCCTTCCTCTGTCGGTGATCCGGAAGCTCAAGTTGGTACAAAATGCAGCTGCTCGGCTTCTTGCGGGAATTCCGATGAGATGCCACATAACACCAATCTTACTACAGCTGCATTGGTTACCAATTGAGCACCAGATCACTTTCAAAGTGATGGTACTCACCTTTAAGGCCTTGCATGGTCTGGGGCCGATGAGGGATCGCCTCACCCCCTACCAACCCCAGAGATCCCTCCGTTCTGAGGACCAAGATCTATTGGAAGTCCCCAGTGTCAAGACCTTGGGTCTAACAGCAACCAGACGCACCATCACTCTGGAATACTCTGCCGCCTGAAGTCCATGCCTTGCGGGACCTATCAGCTTTCCGCAGGGCATGTAAGACATATCTGTTTCGACAGGCCTTTGATCTCTGACATGTTGTTTTAAATTGTTTTTAAATTGTGTTAGATTTTAGCCTGTTCTTGTAAGCCGCTCCGAGCCCCAGGGGAGTGGCGGAATATATTTTATTTATTTATTTGGAGCATTTATTAACCGCCATTCTCAGCCCACTCGGGCGACTCACGGCGGTGTACAGTACAAAAGGCAATTCACACAAAGACAAGTACAACAGCATATTAACCATACAACAATACAACAGTTAAAATTACACTAACTAATCCGCTTCGTCTCGTAATAGAATCGTGACCAATCTCGTATTCCTTGTACCATTCCAGTCGTCTTTACCACATTACTATAGCACTTAATTAAATGCCCTCTCGAACAGCCACGTCTTGAGGCTTTTTCGGAAGGACAAAAGAGAGGGCGCCTGCCTGATGTCTGTAGGGAGAGTGTTCCACAACCGGGGGGCCACCACTGAGAAGGCCCTCTCTCTCGTCCCCGCCAGGCGTGCTTGTGAAGCTGGCGGGACCGAGAGCAGGGTCTCCCTGGAAGATCTCAAAGTCCTGGTGGATTCATAGGCCAAGATGCGGTCGGAAAGGTAGCTTGGGCCAGAACCGTTTAGGGCTTTAAAGGTCAACACCAACACTTTGAATTGAGCCCGGTAGCAAGTCGGCAGCCAGTGGACAACAAGGGCGTTGTATGCTCCCTGCCCCCCGCTCCAGTTAGTAACATGGCTGCCGCGCGCTGTACCAGCTGAAGCTTCCGGGCCGTCTTCAAGGGCAGCCCCACGTAGAGAGCGTTGCAGTAGTCAAGCCGGGATGTGACAGAGCGTGTACCACCGTGGCCAAGTCAGACTTCCCGAGATACGGGCGCAGCTGGCGCACGAGCCGAAGCTGTGCAAATGCTCCCCTGGTCACCGCTGAAACCTGGGGATCCAGGCTCAACGATGAATCCAGGGTCACACCCAAGCTGCGAACCTGCGCCTTCAAGGGGAGTGCGACCCCATCCAGCACAGGCTGTAACCCTATATCCCGTTTAAATTAATTAAATAGATAAATAAATGAGTGTGAAGTCACTTACCTAATGCACACAACTACAGAATCGGTTGTCTCAGCAATGTAGCAGCAGTGAGAGTCGCTCATATCTAATAAACACATAATGTTTGAAAAGGGATTACAAGTTTCAGGACTATTTAGAAAAATACTATACTTCCCCTGAATTTTGTTTCTTGGAAAAATCAGGAAGCTACTGCTTCAAGGCTGACATAACTAAATTCACAGTAATTCTTTTAGTTTACTAAAATGGATCAATTGGCTGGAATCCGATTAGTATTTCATTTTGGAGATTTGGATGACCCCCGCTTCATTTTGTAAAGCTTCAGAGGGGGTCCCCTTTCATTTTGTAATCTGAATCTCCAAGACTTGGGGGAAAATGTCGAGGCCTTTTCCTCCATCATTTTTACAGTTATCACGATGAAACTTGGCACACTTGTAGGCAACATTTACAACTTTAAGTCTGCCAAGTTTCGGTCACACTGATTTTTAGGACACTGCGGGGAGGAGACCAACTTTGCAGAAAGCCATGTGATTGGCTGACAAGGAAAAAAACACACACGCAGATGCCATTGTCAATCACATCAGCTCCCTTTCCCCCTCCTATCCCAGGCAATTATGGGGCGTGTTACATTAAATCTTGAAAGGCTCCGAAAAAACAAAAAAATCAGAGGTTGTGAGGTTGTGAAAAACCTTCAACAATACATAGACCCTACAAAGCTTTGTACAGCTCTTCAAGCTAAAGTGTGAAAGCAGAACCGACAGAAAGCAGGAATCACAACCACATTTTTTTGCTGGCTCACTTATAGGCATGATAGGAAAACCTTATGCGAAAGTCCTATGCCAAATCCTTACAATTCTATCAAATGGAATCTCATGGGCTTCATTCGGAGAACTTACTAATGTTTCCAAAAAGACCGGCGCCTCCAGAAATGACAACCACTCCTTTTCTGTTTCCAGAAGAAGCCGCTTTGGGCCAATACACTCTCACCGGAATGTCTTCAAAAAGCAAGTTCTTGATAATCAACGCTGAGCTCTTCTTTAATGGGATTGCTTTATAGAAAGTGGCAAGGGCTTTATACCTGTGGCAAATGCCAAGCTTCTCACAGATGAGTGCCTATTTAGAGCAAAACAAGGACAAGGAAGAATTGAATGTAGCATGCATGCAGGACGTAGACACAAGGAATGACAGCCATAGGGCGAGTCTACACTCGATTGTCTCTTACATGGCCAAATAAAAATTAGGTAACACTATATTTTTAATTAATTTTTATTTTAAAAATTGTAATGCACCCGCAATACATATTACAAACATAAAACAACAGGCTTGGGTAACCACGGAAAAATTTGGTTCTAAACTCGTTTTGTTTTTAGGGGGCCCTTGCGTTTCGTTTTTTTAATAATTCCGAAATTTTCCTTTAAAAATTTCGAAATTTACGAAATTTCGTAAAATTACGAATCGATTCGTTAATGGCGGACGAGATTGCGCAATATGCTAAAAAAACCTCCAAATGGGACAGGAGGAACTTCTGAAGCTTCCCTCTCCCTCTGTTGTTGACTGTTGGTGTGATAAAACAAACAACAACTATAAAACTTGCACCAGACATGCGAAAATAATTACGAAATAATTACGAAATAAATTGAAAAAATTGTTTCGAATCTAATTTACTCCTCACACTATTCCTGCATGGCTCAATATTGGATCGTAAGCTAATTTAAATACGAATTAATAACGAATTACGAAATTAACGAATGAAACCGCCCAAGCCTAACATATACACATATATAGATAACCCACCACCCACATACAATTACTAAGCTTGGTTGATCTTGTTCGGAAGTTTCTAAAATCGGAATGAATTCGTATTAAAATGACTTTTGAAGCAATTTCAAGCCATGCTGGAATAGTGTGAGGAGTAATTATAAATTGAAATAATTTACCCATTTTTCAGAATTATTTTCGGATGTCTGGTCAAGGTTTACAATCTCGCAGTTTCCCTGGCCTCCTTGGCGACATGTGGCGATGCGGAAGGGCGAGGTGGGCATGGCTATGCTCAGCTCTTCCTGAAGGCCACCCCCAGTGGCCATCAAGAAGAGCTGGGCGTAGCCATGCCCACCTCATTCCCCTGCCATCCATCGCCGTTCGCAGTCACCCAGGGAAGGGAAACTGCGAGATTAGTTTTAAACTTCAAGGGCTCCTTTCTCCCTTATGTTTACAGCTATTGGGGTGAAACTTGCTACTACTACAGAACACATTTACCACTGTGAGCCCATCAAGTTTCAGAGTGTTTCACTTATCCATGGATTTTTGGGGAATTTTCAAAGTTTTTATAAACAACTATAAAAAAACTACAAGAGTGATCTTTGAATTTTCTATACAATGATACAAGATAACAGGAGACAATTCCCCACAACTTTCGGGAATATTCACACAGCTCTTCTTGACGGCCACTGGGGGAAACCGCATCGCTGCTTGTCGCCAGGGAGGCCAGGGAAACTGCGAGATTTTAAACTAACGGGGGGGAGGGGCACCTTCCAATAACGAAGTAAACGAAGCTATTAAGATTTTTGCTATTTCTGATCTTTTTTTCAAGAAAATTGCAGTTAAAAATAGCAATGAAAATAATTTGATGGTTGGGGGTCACAACAACACGAGAGACTGTATTTAGTGGTCATGGCTTTTACAAAGGTTGAGAACCTACTAAAAGTATGGAACAAATACAAGGGATACATTTACAATAAAACACCCGTGTGGATATCATTGACGGAGGCGTTCCATATGAGGGGAATTCCCAGGGAGAGATGGCTCTTCTATAAACAAATTCTAATAAAAGAAAACAATGAATGGCGTCTAAGATCTATGGAAGAACTAAAGGAAATAGACGAGGAAATAGGCTGGTTCCATTACCTTCAGGCTAAAGAATATTTTAAGGAAGATCTAAAAGTAGGATTTAACGAAAATGACACCTGCTGGGACATAATAATAAAAAAGAAAAAAGTGATTAAAATAATATACCAAAGCCTTCTAGAGTGGAGCAATGAAAAAGACCTAATAAAGGAAAACATGACCAAATGGGCAAGAGATTTAGGACACACAATTCTACTCAATGAATGGGAACAGATTTGGAAGAACAAAATTAAACTCACAAGAGCCACCACTGTAATAGAGAACTGGTACAAAGTCTTCTATCGATGGCACCTAACGCCGGTCCAACTTTCCAAATTTAATAGAAAATACAGCAATTTATGTTGGAAGTGTAAGAAAGAAATAGGAACATATTATCATTTATTCTGGGGTTGCGAGGAGATTCAAAAGTTTTGGTCACAGGTTCACAAACACATACAACAGGGGTCCTCAAACTTTTTAAACCGGGGGCCAGTTTACTGTCCGTCAGACCGTTGGAGGGCCGGACTATAGTTTTTTTAAAAAAATCAATAAAAAATTCCTATGCACATTGCACATATCTTATTTTGCTGTGTGGAAGGGTTCTTTCTAGCTCTCTTTAGGCAGTAATTCCAGGAGCAGAGAATGGGAAATCTTCTATTTCTAGTCTGAACAAAATCTGGCTACCAGTATTAAAAAAACTAAAATTATAACTGTAAATAAAGAACAACACTCAAACACAGGGGAACTCCAGACAAGAAACAATCAGGGCCAGCTAATCACCTCTCAACAAAGGATTCTACCTAAAAACTGTCAGGCTATGAAATGGTAATCAAGGTGGCCAATTGAAACATTCATACCTACCTCCAACAGACAAGAGTTCTTTCTCCCACCCTGGATCTTCCACAATTTTCCTAGTTAAAGGCTTTCCTCTGACATGAAGTCCAGTCGTGTCTGACTCTGGGGTGTGGTGCTCATCTGCATTTCTAAGTCGAAGAGCCGGCGTTGTCCGTAGACACCTCCAAGGTCATGTGGCTGGCATGACTGCATGGAGCGCCGGGGCAGCCTCCCTTGGCTGGCTCACGCTGCCCATCGGGCCCGATGGGCAGCGTGAGCCTGCCAAGGGAGGAGCAGCCCCGCGCCTACTCACGCGTAAAGCACCTCACTAGGTGCTTTACGCGCGAGTAGACCACGCGGAGCAGCTGCCCTTGGCTGGCTCACGCTGTCCATCAGGCCTGATGGATAGCATGAGCCTGCCAAGGGAGGAGCAGGCCCGCACTGCCTACTTGCGAGTAAACCACCTCACGAGGTGCTTTACACATAAGTAGACCATGCAGAGCAGCCTCCCTTGGCTGACTCACGCTGTCCATCAGGCCTGACAGATAGCGTGAGCCAGCCAACGGAGGGCACTGGGGGGGGGCGCTCCTCCTCCACGAGCCGGATAAGGGCCCTTGGCGGGCCGGTAGTGGCCCGCGGGCCGTAGTTTGGGGACCCCTGACATACAAAATATAATTAAAACAACATTTGAAATGAAACCAGAGTATTATTTACTTAATATGACAAACCTCGATCTAAAGAACAACGAGGGAAAAAAAATTCTATCTATCTGCGGCTGCAAGAATATTAATTGCAAAAAAGTGGAAAACTAAAGAAACCCGTTCTAACGACGAATGGTTCAAGAAAGCAGTAGAATTTATGGACTTGGATAGACTCTCATATCTACTAAAGGATTGAAGTAAGGAAAAACCAACAAACTGGAATCAACTAAAAGAATACCTGAGAAAGAAAAACAAACTTAATATTTAATACTAGGCATTAGGGCTGGGTAACAACGGAAAAAATTGTTTCTAAACTCGTTCGTTTTTAGGTGGCCCTTGCGTTTGGTATTTTGTAATAATTTCAAAATTTTCGCTTTTAAAAATGTCAAAATTTCCGAAATTTCGTAAATTTTGAATTGATTCGTTAATGGCGGACGCAATTGCGCAATACGCTAAAAAACCTCCAAATGGGACAGGGGGAACTTCTGAAGCTTCCCTCTCCCTCTGTTGTTGACTGTTGGTGTGATAATTTATTTTATCACTGATAAAACAAACAACGACTATAAAACTTGCACCAGACATACGGAAATAATATCGAAACAATGTCGAAACGATTTCGAAACGATTACGAACCAATTACGAACCAATTACGAAATAAATTGAAAAATTCATTTTGATTTTTAGTTGCTCCTGCATGGCTCAATATCGGATCGTAAGCTAATTTAAATACGAATCAATAACGAATTACGAAATTAACGAACGAAACCGCCCAGCCCTACGAGGCATTAGGGATCTAATCGAACAAGAAAGGAATGTGAGACCAAAAGAAGATGTGTAAAACTTAAGACATTTCCTCGGCGGACTGAACGGAAGCCACCCAAAGACCCTCTTTTTTTTCTCCTCTTTTTTCAACAGGTAGATGGGCTGGCTCTTTTCGCAATCCCCTATGCTCTCACTTTTCCCCTCCCCCATCTTCATACCAACCTATCAATTTTCCGATCTTTCTATCACACCGATTGTTCTCCCTCTTTCGTTGTTACAGTGAAAATCACAATAAAGTTTTTTTTAAAAAAAAACAGAGGTTGAGAACCACTGCTTTATGACTTATTCATTGAAAAACTATTGCAAAATGTTCTAAAGTAGGATGTCCCAAGAGTTTGTAGTTTAATACACTTTCCCAATTTTTTTTATGACAGAATGAATTAGGGAATTACAACCTAGGAACAAAAATTGTGTGACACTGTGCTATTTTGACAAATTTGTATTCCCTTTTCTGGCACCCATTGTGCCTCTATTTTGGATGTCCACTAAGCTGTGGGATAAAACAGATCCAAATTTTGGGTGAAATACTTGGACACTTCTGAAAATGAGAATTAGAATCCCGTTTACAAACTGGAAACCAAACTATCAAACTATCCCCACAATTGACTGCAAAAATCACATCCATGTTCGACATCCAGAAAAAGAGAACTTCCATATAATGATGTCATATAAACATACACAAAAATACAGAGAAGGGTGTTAAGATCAGGAAAACTTACCCAAAACCCTAAAAACTGGATAATTGAATGGTAAAGCCGTACTTTACCAGGATGTTTGATTCCTGGTGGGATGTGTATCCTGGTCTGATCGTAATAAATCGCCCATGAGACCCCGAAGACTAGAATGAAAAGGCTGGCATATAGCACAAGCATCCAGAGAATTGCAAGAAACGCCATGCTCATGACGAACGAAAGGACTCCTGTTTGTCCCGGTTGGTTTCCGACGTTTTATATCACACCAGCCTCCCCACTTTGCAGGGAAGTTATTTATTTATTTATTTCCTATATTTATACCCCGCCCTTCTCTCTCCCAGGGGGGACTCATGGTAATTTAAACAAATTAAAACAATGAGAGCCATGTTTCAACATTGGAAAGGATACACACAAGGTATATATTAGGGGTGTGCATTTTTGTTGTTAGCCGTATCAAATGAATCAAATACATACTTATGAGACAATATCCGACACGTGCTAAACTTCAGAATTGAAACTTACCCAATGAATGGTTGAATCTGCAAAGGGGAGAACTGGCTGAGCCTTCTAGGAAGTCAATCTCTGTGCTGGGCTTCTGAATGAAGCAGAGAGTGTTTGAGGACTGGGACGTCCGTAGGAATACCAAGCCATTGCCCTCCCAACTCTGCTATACTGCGGCAAAACATGGACTGTCTACAGACATCATACGCAACTCCTGAAATGATTCCATCAGCGCTGCCTCCTAAAAATCCTGCAAATCTCATGGGAAGATAGGCAAACAAATGTCGGCATGCTGGAAGAAGCGAAGACCACCAGCATTGAAGCGAGAAGCAAAGACCACCAGCATTGAAGCGATGCTCCTCCACCATCAACTCCACTGGACAGGCGACTGCAAGGAAGCAGGGGAGCAGAGGAGATTTATTGTTTATTTCTTTAAATTCTGCCACCAACGCGAGGTGTGAGGTTTTACTGTGAGATATGGCACATCAGACGCAGTATTGATGGAGATGAGACTGTTTCAACTAAAGATAACAGGTTTATTTAGTACAAAGCATATGGTTGCAAGTCGTAAACTTTCTTATTGAACTTTGAAGAATACTTGGTTTGAAATACTTTCCACTCTTCCAGGTTACACAGTATCGTTTACTCTTACTGACGTGAAGTTCTTTTTATTAAACAATGTTTCAATACAGGAATATCTTTCCTATTTGATCTGTCCTTGATCAAATAACTCAACAAACTTATTCTTTAGCCTTAACCTGACTAAAGAAAATTGGCTATGTTTCTCCTTACAGCCTTCTTAGACTGAGAAACCTCCAGATTGCTTATTCAGGCTTCCCAAAGCCTCACTATTTTACTTCACCCTTCCTTTCACTCTCTCACTGCTCCCCATACAAACTCACTGCTTCACAGAACACTAACCAACTCCCAACTGACACAAACTGTCCGTTGCTCAACTCTCTCCCCTTGGCTCCTCCCACTTCTCCTCCTGCTGCCAGCTTGACTTGGTCACCATGGCGACGCTGACTGAGGTTTTCTTTGAAATAGGCCACTCCAGTGTTACTGTAGATAACCCACATATATATATATATACAATTTAAAACATGCAAAGTATCAATAACTTCCGCACAGCGAAATTGTCCGAATGCCCGACCACCGTCTCCCAAAGTAGTTGCTCTATTCCGAACTCAAGAATAGGAAGCGGGATGTTGGTGGGCAGGAAAAGAGATTTAAAGATGGGCTTAAAGACAACCTCAAAAACTGTGGCATAGACACCTAGAACTGGGAAGCCCTGGTCCTTGAGTGCTCTAACTGAAGGTCAGTTGTGACCAGAAGTGCTGTGGAATTTGAGAAGGCATGAATGGAGGAAGAAAGAGAGAAATGTGCCAAGAGGAAGGTGCATCAATCCAACCCCGACCGGGACCGCCTTCCATCTGGAAACTGACGTCCTCACTGCGGGAGAAGATGCAGATCATGAGTAGCGCTCCACAGCCACCTACAGACCCACCACCAAGACACCACATCTGGAAGACAATCGTCCTTGAACTACGAGGGAGTGTTTAAGTAAGTAAGTAAGTTGGGCTGGAGAGAAATCCCTAAATGGAAGTTCTATAGGTCAATAGGGGAGAGAGACATTCATATATTTTTTTGTCAACGTTTTTGTCAAAACCTTTTTTAAAATCTCTAAAATCAGTAGATGTGTGCATATTCCTGAAATTTGTGGGGAATTGTCTCCTGTTATCTTGTGTCATTTGATAGAAAATTCAAGATGGCTCTTGAAGTTTTTTTTATAGTTTATAAAAATTTAGATAATTCCCCAAAATCTGTGGATAAGTGAAACATTCTGAAACTTGGTGGGCTAACAGTGGTAAATGTGTTCTACTTTGGAAGCTGTACAAATGAGGGAGAAAGGAGCCTCTGAATATTCCCTACTTGTCCTCAGGTGGAAGAAGTAAAGCTGTGGCTGCCATTTTACTCAGCATTGTGGGTCTTCCTCCTCAAGAACTGACCAGCAACAGTCTGTGGGTCTCTCCACCCCCCACAAACACCGGTAAAGCTGCTGTTCCCCAGCACTGACCAGCAACAGTCTGTAGGTCCCTCACACCCAACACAAACACTAGGGGATGATTTGCTTTAGGTATTGTGTGTCCTCAGAGGGAAGAAGTAAAGCCGTTTTACTCAGCATTGTGGGTCGCTTTCCCCGAGCACTGACCAGCAACCATCTGTGGGTCTCTCTCACCCCCTACAAACATCAGGGGATAATCTGTTTTAGGTATTGTGTGTCCTCAGGGGGAAGAAGGAAAGCTATGGCTGCTGTTTTACTCAGCATTGTGGGTCGCTCTCCCCAAGCACTGACCAGCAACAGTCTGTGGGTCTCTCTCACCCCAAACAAACAACAGGGGATGATCTGCTTTAGGTATTGTGTGTCCTCAGGGGGAAGAAGTAAAGCTGTGGCTGCCGTTTTACTCAGCATTGTGGGTCACTCTCCCCGAGCATTGACCAGCAACCATCTGTGGGTCTCTCTCACTCCCTACAAACACCAGGGGATGATCTGTTTTAGGTATTGTGTGTCCTCAGGAGGAAGAAGTAAAGCTGTGGCTGCTGTCTTATCCAGCACTGTTGGTCTCTCTCCCCCAGCACCAATCAGCAACAGTCTGTGGGTCCCTTGCACACACCCCCACACCTGTAAAGCTGCTGCTCCCCAGTACTGATCAGCAATAATCTGTGGTTCTTCTCACCCCACACAACCACCAGATGTCCTCAGGGGGAAGAAATAAAGCTGTGACTGCCATCTTACTCAGCACTGTGGGTCTTACAACAGTCTGTGAGTCTCTGTCACCCCACACAAACTCCAGGGAATCGGGGAAAGCTTCAGCAAGCACTCTGCTGCTGAGCCCAGAGAGATCATCCCATAAATGCATTTTTGTGCTATATTTAATAAAAGTAAGGCATCTCCTGGTGTTTCTTCTTGAGTAAAAAATAAGTATAAGATAGTGCCTTATTTTCGGGGAAAACATGGTAAATAATAGCAAAAGCCAGGTGGCCATCTACTTCAATCTCTACCTCAACAAGATTTGTTGAAAGGAGTTAAATTAAACAACCACTGCAGTAAAGATCGGCCAGACTATCAGGTTTTTCAAGGTAGGATTTATTCAAGCAAGGAAGGAAGAGAGAGAGAGAGGGGAAGAGGACATGATGCCTGTATTTGAAGGGTATCATTGAGGCGTCGGCTAGTTTATTCTCTTCTTCTCTGGAGTCTAGAACAAGGGCAACTGATTCATACTGAAAAAAAAGGAATTTCACCTTAACATTAGGAAATAGATGTCCTAACGGTAAAAGCTGTTGGATATGGAGCTTGGGAGTGTGGTGGTTTCTTCTCTGGAGGTCTGGATGGCCATCTGTCAGGACGTCTTTCTGTTTGTTAGAATAGCGGTCAACCCAATGTTCACATCAACCGAATTATTAGAAGAACTGATAAGTGTTGAAGGAAATTGATGAAATGTTTTATAAATTGTTAAGGAAACAAATCACATGTTGGTAATGGCTTCTCAAAGTTGGATACTCCAGTAGCCGGTTCTCAAAACCATAGGTAATTCCGTGGAAGCCCTCCTTAATGTGATGCCATGTCACTGGGACGCCATTGTCCTCTAGCCGTTTCTTGTACAAGAGCCCATCGTCCCGGACTGTATCGTATTCGCAGGTTAATAGGAAAGTCTTGGGGAGCTGGCGGATGATGTCATCTTCTGCTAAAAGCGGGGAAAACATTGGGTTAATGCATTCCTTGCAGATTTCATAAAGTTCTTGGGAAAACGGAGCCGGCTCCATGGGCACGTARCCCCTGSCCTTAAATTCTTCTGGAATGTAGTCAGGATTGATCCATTTTCTGTATTTTGCCSACAAATGCTTGGGAACATGAGCGTTCTTCATTAMGCCCTCCACGTTGATCCTCTTCCCAGTCAGAAACGTCATGCCAAATATCAAGGCTCGTTTCTTGAACAAAAAAGGAACTGAATKGTTTTGCTGATAAGAAGGCAAATTGAAATCGATTGCTTGGAAGAATGGATATATAAGGACCTGACCTCGGAGCTTTGGGAGATCCTTCTGTGTTGCCAGATGTTGACAAACAGCTGTAGCAAATGTCCCTCCACTAGATTCTCCGAAGACAACAATGCGATTCGGGTCCACTCCGTATTCCTCTGCATTTTTCAAAAAGTGTATGGTAGCCGTGCAGCAATCCATCACTGGGATTGGRAATGGATGATCCGGAGCCAGGCGAAACCTGAAGCAGAAATGAGAAATGGTTTGAATCCGTACATCTAGGTGATGCATTCTATCAATGTGAAATCATAATAATAACAAATCTTACTGAAATGAACAACTTCTTCAAAAGCATAAGTAGGTCCTCCAGAATGACCCTATGGTCAACTTCAGGTGGAAACATAGCACAGAATTGTCAGAATTATTGAAGGTATGCATGTGTGTTTTATCAATGTGTTTCTATGTAATCAAGAATGGGTTAAGATGTAATTCAATATGGATTCTGTTATGTTAAATTGTGCATGAGAAATACTGTAAGAAGCAAAGAAGCAGAGAAAGAGTAACCTTGACAGAAGTAARATAACGRTTCTCTGGCTGGGAAGAAAAAGGGAGGATCCGGCCAGAGAAGTGAGATAAGCASATGTTCAGAAAACTGTTTTGTGCTGTGCTTTGTAGTTCCTGATTTTTGCCCGCTTAGAATAGACGTGTGTAGAAGTACTGAGTAAACTTTGTGTTATTTTGAAACTGGAAAACTGCAGAGTCCTGGAATTTTTGGAGTCCTGTGTCTGTTTSATCTAGCAACCTCTTCCGCTGCGCATACACACCCAAAAAGTTTAACTCAGATAAGAATTATGTTRGAGGACCTAAAAAATGTCTCACACAGAGGAAGTAGGAAGTCATTTCACATTTATCCTTCTAGGAACTATTCCAACTTCTGTGGTCTGTTAACTCTACACAAGCTAGGCAGTTTTTACAACTGTTTTTACAACAGTTTTCACAGCTTTAAAAACATACACTTTGAAATCTCCCAATAAATAACACAGTAATAGCAAAAAAAATGCCCTTCTTTGATTACAGG